AGCAGAGATGTGCAACTATAAGATATGTGCATTTTAATAGTGAGTTACATTTTATATAAATCTGATTATTTGCATGTAATACTGTGGATCATGAGGTATAAATTTTTATTAAGAGGTGAATGCAGAATGTCATATTGGAGCAACATCCCTTATAAAAAGAATTGAGCTGGGCATGCTGGTACATGCCTGTAATCCTAGGAATCTGATGCAGGAGGATCACCATGAGTTTGAGGCCAACTTGAGCTACAGAAGCAAGTTCAAGGCCAGCAAGCACTACTAGGGAGGCGCTGTCTCAAAAAGGAAAAAACAGAACTGAATCATGTCTTGACTTTAGAAATGATGTGCAATTAATTTTTTTTTTAATCTTGTGATTTGGCCAGGGCTTCTTCTCAGTTTGCAGAAGTTTGGTGAAGGATTGGATATATTTGCATAAGGATCTTAAAAGCCTTCTGAAAGGCTCTTCCTACTAATTACTGAAATTAGGAAAGCCTGCCACAGTGGACTACAGTGGTCCAAGATGCAGTGACACAAGAGGACACTAAAGTCCCCTGTGGAAAACTCACTGTGAAGGGAAGGGGAGCCTGGCAGTGACCTAAATTCCACACAACACAACACCAGGCTAGAGAGCTTGATTTGGTCACTATGAGTCTGAGTTCAAATTCAGACCAAGGTTCACCACTAGGATGCTGGAAACCAACGATCCTGCATGTGGCAGTGAAGATATTCCATGACACTTTAAGGGTCACCCAAGGTGTTAAGCAAGGCAACAGTTTGGTTTTGACATCAGAGAATTTATTTTGGTGACTTGTATGGAGCGTTATGTTTAAAAGGAACAAGAATAGAAACTGGGTAGCTGGTGTCATGGTCCACAAAATTGGAAAGAAGATAGATAAGTCAGTGAAGAAGACAAACACTCAGGAAGTGGAGTTGTCAAAACTCGATAATTGATTGACTCGAGAGTGGGGAGAAGCTGTTAATTTGCTTGCTTTTTATGCTGTTTATTTCTATTATAAATAGCAAGGATTAGACGAAGTGGCCAATTATTCCCTTCTGGAATAATGATCCCATTCATTTCGGCTGTTCGTCTTGAAAAAGAAAATTATAAAGATGAAGCTTTGATTAGCTTCCCTTAGTCTCATAATAACTGTGGTTATCATTCCCAGTCTATTGAGTGGAGTCATTGTTTTAATTTGCATAAGTGGTTTTTGGATATGCAAAGATCCAATTATGTTAAAAGCCAGATACCAACTGGTATAGGGAAACAATCTAGATATGGCCTTGACATTAAAGGAAACAAATGTCTGACTCCAGAGTTTGCCAAGATTTCCATTGAGATAATTCTGGCTGCTAAAGAACCACCGGAGGAGAACATGAAGGAGGAAAGAAGAAATATAAATGGCTCTAGTGAAATGGTACTTGTGTGGATTATAAGAATGGGGGTCGTTTTTTTTTTTTTTTGCAAAAATGTTTGAAATAAGGAAAATCAACATTTTAAAATTGGTAAAACAGCAACAATGACCACCACCACCTACAGCAAAAACATGGTATGTGTGTGTTTACGGTGAAAACGAAAACGAAGAAGCACCTCATCCATAGCATCCAGCTAGCCGCCGTCCTGGGAGATGACTGCTGCCTGGGGAAATTCATCCAGTCGAATGTGTCCTTGGGATTTGTGCTCCTGTGCCAAATCTGTGGCAGCGCATGTTTCATCCAGGTAACCCTTGGCCGATTTCCCCACCTACTTGATGATTCTGTTCAGAGCTTCCTAGTTGGCTGACTGCTAGAACTGGCAAGACAAAAATCACATGGAGGGAGAGACAATGGGGGAAATAAGAGAGTCAAGTCAAGGAGAACTAGGTCAAGGTGGAGGACAAATGACAGGAACCGCACAGGGCAAGGTGACAGGCTCGGTGACAAAGAGTTGAAGTCCACCTTCTCAGCTTTCACTCCCTCACTCTTACACAGATCAGTCTAGCCTGTTGCTATTGAATTCCCTCATCTTTTTCTAAGTTATTCTCCCAAACATCAGCAAGGGACCATTTGTTTGGTCACATCATGGGATGATTCTTGTCTGTTTTCCTCACTGTAACCTCTCTGGATATCTGGCATTGTCGAGCGCCGTCTCCTTCATGAGTTCTTCTCTGTCCTAGGCTTTGGTGACAACGTGCTGTCAGCTGTCCCTACTATTCTTTCCTGTGTTCTATACTAATTCCTCCTCTTCTTCTGTCTGTGAATATTGCCTGAAACTCTAGTTTTCTCCTATTCTTTTTCTTGCATTTTAAAATTCTTTGGTATTTAATCCACCTGTAGTGTTTCAGTGACAATCTTAAGGAGGAAGTCTTTGAAGTACTAGAGATATAAATAAAAATATAGATCTGGCCCTGATGTTCCTGGAGTTCTGATCTTCCATATTCTCTTACTCTCTGCATGTGCCCCATTTGCATGTCAAACTTAACATTTCTATAACCAACCTCCTCTCTCTCCTTCCCTGTCAAACTGCTTAGCCTGGGCCAAAGAGAACTAACTTTCTTTTTCTTTTCTTTTCTTTTCTTTTCTTTCTTTCTTTCTTTCTTTCTTTCTTTCTTTCTTTCTTTCTTTCTTTCTTTCTTTTTTGGTATTGGGGATCAAATTCATGGCTGCATGCTTGCAAGGCAGGCACTTATGCCACTGAGCTAAATCCCCAACCCCTAAAGAGAACTTTCTCGATCTGTCCTCGTTCTACCTTTCCATTCTCATCTTTACCTCTCTCCTATAAACACCCTCTTTCCAAGTACATCTGCCTATCTGCAGCTGCTTGAAAGTGTCATGCTACTAGGTAATCCTGTGCTATTGAAGACCACATTCTCTTCACCCTTCTGAAACACCCTTCTCCTTTGATCTCCTTCAAGCCCCTTCCAAAGAGCCCTACTTCAGTCTTCCACATTTCCTTGAGTATCACTCTGATAGTTAAACTGGATCCTCAGCCTGATCATTTTGTGAGCTCCCCGGGGGACTGGTGGAGCAGACTTCTGGGTGGGTCACAGGAGTGTGATCTTGGGTACAGTAATAGGTCTCTGGCATATACAACTGTACTCTTGGATTTTGGGGGATTATGTGGGGGCAGTAGTTGGGGATCGAACCCAGGGCTCTCTACCACTTAGCTATATCCCCAGGCTTTTGAAAGTTTTAATTAATTTTTTTCACTTTTTAATTTTTGTTTGGGGTGCCTAGTCTGGTCTTAAATTCATGATCCTGTAGCCCTAGCCTCCCACACAGCTTGGATTACAGGTGGGCCAGCCCTGTCCTTGTTTAATGGTGATGGGGAAGTGTCTTAATTACTTTTTTTATTTATGAGACAAAATAAATACTCAACACCCAAAATTAAAGAGGGGAAGGTTTATTGAGTTCACAGTTTGTAGAGGTTTCACTTCATAGGCGGCTGGCTCTACAGGAGGGTGCTATGGCAGAGGAACATTGCAGAGCAAAACAACGAAGTAGCAAGCAACAAACCTGAAGTCCTCAACACAGTCCTTTCTGTCCTTCATATCTTATCCAGGGTACCTGGCTTTAGGGCAGGTAGCATTCACACCCCGAATCCTAGTTTCACACTGTGAATCACTTCCAGGGTCACATCCTTGATCCAAGCAGCACACACCCTGGATCAGCCACTTCTGAAAAGCTCCACCTGTGACTGTGTGAGATTTGGGAGGGGGGACATCTAGATACAAGCGATAACAGGAAGCCATCTCAAATTTGTATATCAAACCCTGTTTCCCTGGCTTTCAGAATTGTATCTTTCCTTTCTTCACAACACTACCACTCGAGAGCTGAGCTGGTAGATCACACCTAACAGGCTGCATGCAAAGCTCTTGATCCCTTGACTCACTAACCCGGTCTGTAAGGGCACCACTATGTGCCCGTCTGCTCAGAGCACCACTCTAAGATAATCCTGCTCTTCTCTCCCTTTTACTACACAGCAAATCCGATAACATCCTGTAAACTACATTAGCACCTATCTGGGTCTGCCATTGCCCGTCTTCTCTAACAATCTACATGAGTCAGGCCGCCGTGTTCTCTTGTCAGACCCCTTCTTCACCTTCTCTGGCTCCTCTGCGGACAATTCTTCCACAGCAAGGTAAGGGTCCTTATCCCGGCTGAGGAGGGCTGCCAGGGCCTGGCCTTGGCAGTCCTTCTGGACTCATTTTCTACCATCTTTCCTTATTGACCCTACTCTGCCTTCACAGGCTTCCTCCTTGCCGGTTCTTGGCCACACCAATGGCCCTCGCCTTTCTCCATGCCCTGAACCCTCTTCCAGAACTTTCCATAGCTCACTGTCTTCCTTCCAGCTCTGCTCAGTAGTCACTTCTGAACAGTGGGCTTCTTCAACCACACTATCCAAAAACATCCTTCCATGACCCCATTCTGCTATGCTGAGACTTGTTTTTCTTCACCACATAATACTTTGTATTTTAATGTAAGTACTAGTCCTCTCTTCTTATTGCTACATCAGAACTCTGTCTATCATGTTCTTTGTTGCAATCCCAACATCTGGAATAGTTCCTGGAAAACACTGGATAAATATTTGATTAGTGAATGAATTATTCTCGGTACAGAAGGCAATGAGTTGTCTTTGATTCTTCACTTGGGTTTACCCTCTCATAGAGTCACCAGGCCCTTCAGAGTCTTCCTCATGTTTATTCAGTGAGCATTTACTGTGAGCAAACTGCCTTATGATGTGCTTATCCCTGAGTGACTTACTTCCCACAAGTGCTGGGTCAAGCCAGGTAACTAATGCAGCATGAACTTTCTAAACTCTAAAGCACCACACAAATCTCATTTGGCTTCCAATCCTGCTGCAATGGCACTAGGTAATGTTACTTTCACTTGGACTCACACAGAGGCCTCTGACTAATCTTCCTGCTTCCAGACTCTTCCCAGATAATATATTCTGCACCCTGCTTTTCACTCAATCTTCTTAAAGAACTGCCATAATTATGCTCAAAAACTGTGATTGCCTTCCAATTCCTGACCAACTTGTACACAAACTCCTTGGCTCGCATCCACGACTCTTCCCAGCCTGGCTCAAGACCGTGTTCTTGCTGTCACCTATTTGTCTTCACCAAACATCTTCATTTTCAAGTGAATCTAACCTGCTGATCACAGCTGCCATTCCATCCTGCCCTGTCATGGCGCTGTTCCTCTCATAGATGCTTCGTGGATCCCCCTTCTTTAAAAAGATAACAGCAAATGTGTGGCCATAAAGCTGCCATCCCTGGATTTTGCTAAGTGAACCCTCTCTACTTTCCATTTTTGCAACATTTTGTTCTTCCTATTGAGGGAGAGATCTTAGTGTCCTTTAGAAGAGGAAGGAACAAAAAAGGTGCAAGCAACACTGTTAGCACTTGTGGCTTCTCCCACATGCTGCTTGGAAGGCAGGTGAAGTCTGGCTTTGTGTTTCCAGCCTTTCTGATTGGTGGCCCCCGTGGGACCAGAGCAGTCCCTGTGGGTTTTTCCCTGGGACTTGTGGAGGTTATACGGGCAGGCTTTAATTTTCCCCGGTAAGGGGACAGAAAGTCACAGGAAACCAACATTTACCACAGGACAAGTGACATTCTTTAGTCCTGTCTTTCACAATTACAGGGATGGTGTTTTGGCCTCCATGATTCTGACTTACTTTCTTAATTAATGTTGACCTCTGAAGAGAAAGAGCAGTTAATTACAATCTTCCTTTGAACTCAGACACCCACATGACTCTTTTTATGAACTTTTCTTTACCACAGATTTTCCTAATGTCTTATTTGTATTTATAATCCAATAGCATAAGCATATAGAAAGAAGAGGCAAACTTACAAGTTGTCCCCCATTCTATCTCTTTAGACTTAGATTTGTGTACAGGGCTTTGTTCTTGCTTTCTTTGCCCCGGACGCTGTCCTTCCACAGCTTCCGGCTCATTTCCTTCTAGTCGCTTAATAGTCACTTCTAGAAAGCTCTATTTGTTTGTATAGGGATTATTATAGGCTAACAAATTTGATATTAAAAATTAAAGAATAAATATAGATGATATTAAATGAGATATTTCCTGTTTCTTCTAATTATACGTGAAGCCAGAGCTGATTATGAAGTATACCAAATTCTCCATAGCTATGGTCACAAAGGTCTGTGTGATAAAGGTTTGCTCTCAGGAGTGGCACTTTTGTGAGATGGAGGAATCCTTGGCAGTAGGCCTTGGGGGCTCCTTAGATCACTGGGAATACGTCATTATGGGGACCAGGGAATACCTAGACTCTTCTTCTTCCTCTTTCATCCCTGGCTCATGAGGTGAGTGATTTTGCTCTGTTGCTTGCTCTCTGTCATTGTCATCTGGCATCCTCACCAGAGGCCCAATGCAATGCTCCCTCCCATCTTGGATTGGAGCCTCTGGAACTATCAGGTAGATAACCCTTTCCTCATTATGTGTTAACTGCTTCAGGTATTTTGTGTTAGTAATGTGAAGCTGACTAATGTAGTCACATTATAAAGATTGACACTAATCCATTTTTATAGAATTTACTGAGGCATGACCAGATGGAATCTTCAAATCATCTTCAAGTATATGAGGATGATTTGAGAAGGTACTCAACAGAGGATGGAGGGTAAGATTACTGCGGCATTTCCCCGCTCATCACTCTGAGGAGAAAAATAGGTTTGTCTCTTTTCTCCAAGCTAGGCAAACCTGGAAGAGTGATGTCTGCCGACAGGGGATATTGAGACGGGGGCCTCCCTCTTATCTGGAGAGCTATCAGGGTGCAAGGATGGCTGAAGAGATGGTCAGTGAGGACCTCTGGCAGCAGAGGACCCAGCCAGGACTTCCAGAGTCCCACGGAACAAGCTGGGCTTGAACTTGCAGTCTTCCTACCTCAACCTCCCAGAGGGCTGGATGATAGGCATGTGCTTCCATACCCATCACGGCTTTCATAGTTTTAAAAGAGTCATATGCAGGGTGAGTGTGAAAGCATTGTGGGAAAAACTATAAATTAGTTACACTGATACTCTTGGAGTGCTTATCCAAATGCTATAGAGTACATAAATTATTTTATTATTCCCTACATCCTAAAATAGTATTTTTATTTCCATTTTATAGAAGAAGAAATGGAGGCACGAGGAGTTTACTTGTTCAAGATCACAGAATTACCATGCTTCACAACCAGGGTTTAAATAAGCGGATCATAGTATGTATTGGCTTCATTTTGATGCCATCTGTTTGTTGATACTCAGGTTCATTATTCCCACTTCTAATTTCTTTTCTCTCTTAAGCTCAGGATTTGCATGTCCTCTATTTATTTGCTATTCCCATTTGGATATTTAATATGCACTAGAAAGAGCACACTGAAGGGGAGTTCCTGACAGTGACGTGCTCCTACCTCAGTCTTCCCAAACTTAACCTCATCTTCCTTGCTCCCACACACGCAGGTCCAATAGATCATGGATCCATCAAACTCTCACAATTTCCACCACCCCCTTCTTAGTCCAATCCACCATCTTGCCCCTGTTTGTAAAAGGTGTGACCTTCCTTGTCAGCCTCCTCTTTACAGTAGGCGGAAAGGTGTTTTCGTTCTTTTTTTCTTTAGCTTTACATTTCTCTGAAAATAAAATCTATGGAGCGCTATGAGGCCTGGTGTCTTCTCCCCGCCCCTTTCCCACGTCTCACTCAACAGCAGCAGCACGAGCCTCCTGTCCCTTCTCTCAGGAGCCCAGGCCTGCGTCCTTGATTCTTTCTCTGCCTAGGGTGCTTTTTTTCTACCCTGTGCACACCTGGATCATCCTCATCTTTAGCTCTCAGTTCTGAGGTCCCCTCATTGCTTTCCCAGTTAGCCCAGCCCTTTTCTACATATATTTTTGTGAAGGCACTCTATACAGTTGTAATTATTTTATTTATTATTTTTAACTTTTTTTTTGTACCAGGAACTTTGTACTCAGGCCCTTGCACTTGCCAGACAGGCACTTACACTGCTGAGCTATATTCTCCGATTTCACTGATTTATTAGTTATATTCATCACATATGCTCCTTTCCCTTGATTAGAATGTAAGTTGTCTAAGGAGGGGACTGTGCATCCTTCTTGTTCTTCACAGCATCCCCAGAACCTAGCTCATTGCTTGGAGTAGAGCAGATGTGCATATTTGTTAAATAAATGAATGAAGTTTGCATGTAGAGATTGTTGCATTAAAAATAAAGAGAAAACAAATTTCCATATGTCATATACTGACCCTGATGAATTTTTAACCTGGAGACTGGTATTTTGTGGAAGTGAAAGCCCATTTGGGGCAATTATGTCTTCTGGAGACATACAACACCATATGTTAATGATACAGAGTTTCTTTGGGTCTTGATGAAAAGGTTCCAGGGGTGACTGTCTTGATGGTTGCATAATGTGAATATTGCTACAAATCAGTGAACTGTACACTTCAAATGGTTAAAATGTATACTATGTGAGTAATAATGTAATAAAAATGCAAAAATGGTAAATAGAAATCTAGAGTAAATTATCAGAAAATGAAGAAGTTGCTATAATAGCACTGCCTCCTGTATACAAAGAATATTCTTTTATAGTGTTTTAGGAATGAAGAATTATAGACATGGCTCCTGTCCTCAGAACTAGGGTTTAGAATTCCCCTACCAGGCAAGAGTAGGAAAAATGGGGAGAGAATCAGTGCAAGTCTTACCTTTGTCCTACAATAATCCTAGAAAGTTGATAAACGCAGAACTTAAGTATTAAATGCAGTCTAAAAGAAAAACACAGAAAGCAGTTTTTAAAGAATAGCACAACATCCATCCATTACAGATGAGATTTACCAAGAAGAAATTGAAACAGAGATGCTTCTAGAAATTACTTGGGTTTCAGTGTGAATTACCATTTTTATGTTGTGAAAATTATGTGATGTTAAAACCAAAGCTGAAAGTGAGCACTCAGGATATATTTATCCATTTAGAAATGGCAGTTGTCCCATAATTCAGTACTTCTGCCCAAACCAACCTTAGTGTAAGGGAACGTGGAGCAGTGGAGACAGCAGTGGCAAGTGAGAACCGGAAGCCTGGGTGAGAATCCCCGTTCTGTTCCCACCAGCTCCTTAGCCTGCAGGACGTGACTTAACCTTTTCCAGCCCCACTTGTCTCCTCTGTCTGTGAAAAAATTGTGTATCTCATGACACTGTTGTAGGTTAATTTAGCTTATCTATTCAGAGAGGTTAGCATGCGACCTGCCATCTATCACATAGAATATTTATATGATTGTTGGTAAAAGTTGTCATATATCACCCAAGTCACAGTATTGTCATGAGAGTAACTGATGTGGGTGTCTGTGCGTGTGCTGCTTGTGATTTGAATGTAGAAATTTAAGCCCCAAGGGACAAGTACTGAGAAATGTGATCTCTCGGAAGTGATTAGCAGCTTTGTAAAAGGAACCTGGGTTAAAGGAAACAATTTCTTCCCGTTCTGTCTCTTCTACCATGTAAGTATATGGTATTTGTCTTCTTTGAAGGATCCATCAACCAGGTGCCATCTTGGAAGCAGACAGCAGGCCCTTGCCAGAACCCAGTCCTGTTGTCGCCCTGCTCTTGGAAGTTCCGGCCTCCAGAGATTTGAGAAATGAATGTGTTTGTTATTTATAAATTACCCACTGTATAGCGTTTTGTTATAGCAGCATAAACAAAGATTTTCATAGCATAGCAGAAAATGTGTGTGTGTAGTGTTAGTACCTATAGAAGTGCTTAGGACATGGTATACATTAATAAATGATTGTTGAATAGAAATGTATGGGAAAACAAAGTGTAGATTGCTATAAAATATTTTTTTTCTTTTTTTTTTTTTTTTTTTTTTTTTTTTTTTTTTGGTATTGAGGATCAAACTCATGACCTTGCGCTTGCCAGGCAGGGGCTTATGTCACTGAGCTAAATCCTCAACTATAAAATTTTCTTGTTTATTTTTTAAAAAATAAAATAGATTGACTAAAAGACTACATTTAAAAAAAAAAGATGCTCAAAATATTCTGAGCCAACAGGTATGATTTTTAGAATATTTAGCAACCATTTGGGGGTAGTATTGATTAGATAGGATGGGTGCTGGCAATTGCTCTAGAGGAGGCTGTGGGGGCCCTGACTGCTCTGTTTAGCTAGATGGGCCCAAGGAGGGAGCAGAGAAGAGGAAGAACAATATGAAGTGGAAGGATCTGCATAGTGTGTCAGTTGTTTTCTAACAAGTACAAGACAATGTCAGTATTTTAATATCTGAGCTGGCTGTGCTGGGGCTTACAACCTGAAGAGGTCTCTTTTCAAAATGAAGCCCTGCATTGCCAGAGTTGTAAGGAGGGAGCATACACCCTATGTATACTGTTTCGCAGCTCATGTCTCATCCAATACATCTGAACAAGAGCTAGTTTACTTAAAAGTAGCCATCTATCAATGAACTGGGGCACTGAAGAAAACTCTAGCAGCTTATTATGAGGAGAAGATAGCTGGTGTTACATCACGGATCTATAAAAGTCAGGCCAATTTTGGAACTATGTGGGTGAGTTTCCAATTGCATCAGCCTGGCTTTTATTGCTTTTGATAATGCATTATTAGTCATCTTTATTCCAACAAAATACTCATTATTTTCCATAGAGTGGATGCTGAATTTCAGATCCAATTTGGTAATCATCTGTGAGTGGTATGCTAGAAACCCTGCATGTCTGAATAAAAGCAACTATTTGCAGGCCAATGGCAAAGTTGGGAAATAATCTGGTCACTGTCTTTGAAACTGCTAGTAATAAATTCAGTCTTAATATACTTCTGTGTAATCCTTTTAAGATATTTGTTGATCCACTAAATATCATGAACATTCAGCAACCTCCAGAAGGTAAAGGATTTGGAGATTATAGTTTGTGAGGAGAAGGGAGTGTATAGGTTTTCCCTTTCCAATTTGAATTCGGTCAAAAAGGCTGCATATGTTGATTAGCACGAGCGGCTTCTGTGATCCATTTACTGGAGAGGTTAAGTGAGGCCTTTTTAATGAAGTCTCTTACTCTGTTTTGTGCTGCTATATCAGAGTATCTGGGATAAGGCAATTTATAATAATCAGAAATTCAAATGCTCACAGTTTCGGAGGCCGAGAAGTCTAAAATCAAGGCCAGCTTTGGTGAGAGGCTTGTGGGGTCATCAGCACGTGGCAGAAGGTCGAAAGGCAAACATTCAAGAGAGTGAACCTATTCTGTGAACTTGGCTCTAAATGTGTGACTCTGTCCAGGAGAGTGGGGGCCCCCATGACCTAAAGCTCCCCACTAGGCCCCACCTCTCAATAGTCACAATGAGGAGTAAGCTGCTAACACGTGAATTCTGGGGGTGCACTGCAAACCATTGCAATGTGTGAGTCAGGGCTCTCCAGAGACAGAACTAACCAGAGCATGGACCTCTATCATCTGTATCTCTATATACATCTGTATTTAATCATCATCTGTACTTTTGACTATCTATCTATCTATCTATCTATCTATCTAATCCTCAAAGTTTCATGCACTTATAGGCAGGATTTTGGGGTAATAACTGCACCATAGGGGTGTGACACTCACCAGTGATTCATGCAATTAAGAGTTTGTAGCTAAATATGATGTTGGAAGGTGAAGCCTGGTTGCAGGAGGTGGATCTCTGGCTGTGGTGTGGAAGGGTTTATTTCCCATTCCTCCTCTCTCGATGTGTTTCTCTGCTTCCAGCCACTGTGCCATGAGCTCTTTTTCCTCTGCCATGTCCCTCTGCCATGTTGCCTTGAGATAAAGCCAGCTGGTTATGGACTAAAACCTCTATAAACTACGAGACAAAACAAACCTTCTTTAAATTGTATCAGGTATTTTGTCCTAGCAATGAAGGAAGTAACTAAGACAGTACCTTTCATCCATCCTGTAAGGAATTGGCTCACATGATTGTGGAGGCCTGGTTAAAAACCCAAACACCTTCTTTCTCTTGCGTTGAGCAAGATTCCTGAACTTTATTCTGGGTCAGTTGCAGTCTGAGTCAAAGACAGTCTGTTGGCACAATTTTTTCTTGTTTGGCAAAAGTCAGGCTTTGTTCTATTTAGGCCTTCAGCTGATTAGATGAAGCCTATTCATATCATGAAGGACAAAGACTTTATATAAAGTCTACCAATGTAAATGTTAATCTCATCCCAAAGAACCTTTGTAGAAACATCCAGAATAATATGTGATGAAATATCTGGACACCATGGCCCAGACAGGTTGCCAAATAAATTAATCATTAATATGACAGATTATGGGCATTTTATTGTTTCTGTGTATCTATCTCTCAGAAAAAGCTGTCAAGACAGCCAAATGAGTATCCCACTGAGGGATAGTCGTTGATGGAGATGTTAAACCAGGGAGGAAAAGACTTAGGGACATAGAGTAACAAAAAGATAGTGACAAGTCCATAGTTTCAACACCCACAGATCTACAGTCTCCCTCTCTCTCTGTCACACACACAGACACACACACACACACACACACACACACACACACACACACACACTTCTACACTTTCAAATGCCTACGTGTGAAAAGCAAGGAGCAGAGCAGGACGTCCAGAGGAGACACATTTTGACTCTAGACAGGTTGGTGCCACTATAAATTGGTGACTTCTGACCGCAGCTGACCCTGAACCGACTCAGCATGGCTCTTCTGTTTTGAGCTGTTTTCTAGTTCCTCACAGTGGTCATGGCAAACTTTTCTCATTTTCCTCAGACCCTAATCCTGCCCTGTCCATTTTACTTCCTATTCTGTGGTGACGAAAGGCCTCCAAATCAGTAGCACACCCCTGAATGCACCTCCACTCTCAGCTCTTCTTCCCTCTCTCACAGTGAGCAAGGTTCCTGGACTTCACCCTGGCCCAGTCGCATCTACCTTTCCCAGAACCTTGCTTGTTTGGGTGACTGCATGATTTCTTAGACATGAAAATGTCAAGGGCTCTGTCCCACATATTTTATGGCAATTAGATTTTATAGTCCCAGTGTCTGCTCTGCTAGACTCATGGCTGATGAGCTTTTTCGTTGTTACAAACCAGATGAAATAAAAAAGAGAGAAGAAAACAACTATGCACACATGTACAGAATCTCACATTGATATATTTTTACTGGTGATGATGTCAACAGAAAAAAAGGCAAATGCACAAAACGCAGAACATTTTTAGATTAAAAGTGATTCAAGTGTGAAGGATTCGTAGGCGGAGAGACAGACTTCTTTGCTATTGGCGCTGAATCCTTAATGTATTCTTGTGCAGAAAGCATGGGCCACAGCAGCCAGAGTCATACTTGCATTATGCATCAAAGGCACATCGAGGATAACAGCTACACTGGTGCAACTCCCAGACTGTCTTCCTTCTATGTCTGCTCCAGTCCCACCTTTGCTACCATTAACCTGGTTATCTGTATCGTAGAGTAGTGTTATGGGTTCCACACAATACGTTCATTTAGGTGAACACCAGTACAATCAAGGCATAGTTTTGATTCTGTCACCCTAGAAAATCCCCTCCAACTCCTTTGCATTTAATGTTTTCTACCATCAGTTTCAGGAATTCATGGACTCATTTTCTAATACTGACTAATATTGATATTTTATAGTTTGCCTTAGTTTTATAGTATGCATTAGTTTTAGTTGTTTATTTAAATGGAAGCATTACTGCATACTGTTTTATTACTGTCCTTTTATTCTCAACATATTTTTTGAGATTCTATGGTTTTGTGTATTTTAGTAATTTGTTTTTGTTCCTAAGTGGTACTCTATTGTATAAACCATGGCATACAACAAAGAAAACCACCAAGAGAACAGGAAAAGAATATCACATTTATATACATTGTATATTTTTATATGTTGTATTACATTGTAAACAAATCGTATACTATAACCTATTTATCTAATCAGGTCACAATTGAGGTTGTTTTCAGTGGTTGATTATCATGAATAAAGCTATCAATGTTAAGGCTCGCACTTTTCTTTTGTTTATATACTCAAGGATGAGATAGTAATGTGTGCTCAACTTTATGAGGGATATCAAACTGCTTCCCATCAGAAATATTAGTTCATATGTTCAGAATGAGGTATGATCAAACCTATGTCTAATGTTGCTGCTACGCGCCGTCATTGGAAATGTTGGTTCATTAAAACAATAGAATGTGTCCCCATCTTCTTTATTCACAAGACCAAGTACAACACAACTTCTGGCTCTTCCCTAACATCAAAATGACCACAAAAGGTAAATATTTTGAGTTGATTCAGGAGATCAAGACATCCAGGACAGCACAACTAAGACATCTACAAGGAGGATTCCAGAACTGCTCCACAAAGTGGCGAGAACGATGGGATAAGTGTGTTCCAAGTGCAGTGATGTGAGAAAGATTAATGACAATGTGTCTTTCACTGTAGCCATTTTTATAAATTTAAAAATCACTGAATTTTCTGTTTGCACCTCACATAGCAAAAGCCAGTGGACCGTCTACGTTTTACATCTGTTCTAAACTTTACTCTCTCCCACTGATTTTAATGTCTGTCTTTGTACCTACTTCATATTAGACTGTCTTGGTTAATTGCAGTTTTCATTTGAAATAAGATAACTTAAGTTCTTCAATTTTGTTCTTTTTTTTTCTTCCTCAAAATATTTTTGGCAGTTCTATGTCATTTGACTTTATAAATAAATTGTAGAATCAGCTTATCAGTCTTTGCAAATGTACCTTCTGGAGTTTTAGTTAGATAGAACTAACATCTTAATAATGTTGAGATCTCCAAAGAATGAATGTGAGTCTCTATTAGTTTAGTT